CTTTTCTGTGTGTGTATATATGTGTATTTATAATAATATATGCACTTTCCGTCTTACAGGACCACTATCAAAGGGCATTGAAGCATAGTTAGATTCTGCTCAGAAACACCAGAGTAGCTGCTGCATTCTTGTTGAACAGACAAGGATGCAATGGCAAAATGAGGATTTTTTTTTGTTTGTTTGTTTGAGAAATACGGTATGATATCGCAATCCATTAAACACCAAGGAAGTACCTGTACCAAACAAAGCTGCTAAACGGATTTCCAGCCCCACTGTGTTATGTCAAAGCTATTTTTCCAATAAAATCCCACCGGTTTGTCCAGCATTCACTGTGTGTGAACATTTTCAAACTAAATGACCAGTGACTCGATTATGCATTACCATTTTCATGCACTTCTGGTATCTCAGCAACAAGGTGTCCATACCATCTCCAGACAAACAGCAGCAAGTGCAGACATTTGCTTTAGCCCAGCTCCGAGACATTTGATGTTTAAAAAGATGCTGGTGAACTACTCTTAAGTAGCATTAAAGTTGCAATGCTGTTCGGAAGGTTTGGCCACTCTTGTCCTGATCGCATCTTTTCTTCCGTTACTGAAAGGGTGTTGTACATTTAAATGTAAATGTATGTTATGTTGTTAAATTATTACAATGCAATTGTTAGACTGCTGTGGATATAAGGCTTTTTCTCTCATTGGAAGCCTCTGTCATGTAGCTCACCATTTTCTTCATATTGGGATTCAGAGAATTTTCCAAAAAAGTAATGGATTTTGTAAACTTCAGAGAATGTATATTTTATCAAATGTCTGTATTTGGTGCAAAGGGGTGCCTACGGCGCTGAAGGTTTAGTGCAGCCCTCTGGTCATTTGAACTTGAACAGCATTGTGCCCTTATCACGATTTACGGTGGATTAGCAGAGCTTGGAGACTGACCCTTCTTGTTGCCAAATTTAAAGTTTATATAACCACTGCCTCAAGGAAACATCTAGACTTAGAATCGAATTGAACGTTATTTGCCTGCGTTATAGAAATAGTATAGAATGTAGAGTGGGAATGATTGGAAAATGATGTTCTGTGTGATCGAATTGTCCCAATCAGACATATTTCAGGTTAGTTTAGTACTTAGTTGATACTGTCATTATACGTCATAACCAGAAAGATCAGGATGCACTACAATAGAAGCGATCTGTTCGTGCAGGTCCTTCGTTGTCTCAGATTCACCAAAACCTGGTGATTTCTCCTCTTTGATCCAGGGCCCTGAGGACTATAGGCTACACAAGCCATTAAACTGTATGGTACTCTCTACTCTCAAAACTTGAAACCACTTATATCACTCATATTCCTGTTTATGTTCAAGATTCAATGTTTTTTTTTCTTTTCAAATGCAGTATGAAACCAAAATAGGAAAATATTGTTTTGCAAGGCATTCTATTTAAGGCATTCTCTCTTGTTTTCGTCCCTAATGTTACACATGATGGAAATTTGTGATTGATTTGCACTTTATACTGAGCCCATATACATATATATACTTGTGTATATGTGTTGGGGTTTCTTTCTGTTCTGACAGGTCAAAAAAAAAAAAAAGATACAAATACATCAACTATGTGTCTTTTACTGTGTAATAATAAACTATGATCAGATCTGGCATATGATATCTAATTTTGTGTTCTTATTAACCAATTAATGTATATTTGCTAAAGTACTGGATCCATGAGGTGCAGTGTTGTTTGTTACATTCATCATGAGCAAGTTAATGAGCTCCTATTATAACCCATATATTCTAAATGGTACAATATTAAAAACTTGGCTTGGGTACAATGAATTGACTCAAGTAATGATATAGCATAATCCTAGAACAATCTTAAAGAGGTAATTTACTGCTGGCTGATGGGGTTTTAAAGAAAGCCAATTTATACAAAATCGTGGCTGCACGATTTAAAGGGGTCATATGATGCGATTTCAAGTTTTCCTTTCTCTTTGGAGTGTTACAAGCTCTTGGTGCATAAAGAAGATCTGTAAAGTTGCAAAGACTAAAGTCTCAAATCCAAAGAGATATTCTTTATAAAAGTTAAGAGTCAACCACGCCTACCTAAAAGGCGGGGCATAGAGGACCTACAATAATGTACAGTATTTGAAAAATAATGTGTTTTTTGAACATTAAAGCATGTCAACATATTCTGTTACACCAAATACACAAAATAATGATCTTTAAAATAGCATCATATGACCCCTTTAAGAAAACAATGAAAAAGGGATGTAGTGGGAAAAAAAAGGTAAGAAAACTTGAACACCCATAATGCACTGGGCTCAATCTGACTATACATAATTGGGGATACAAAAATGCAAAAATACAATCTGCAGTTTTCACAAAAGCTGTCAAAAGTCATCCGGTTAATGCATTTTTTTGTCATCAGATAGGTTGCTGACAAATAAAGAGGACTGTCTTGGTGCAGTTAACACGGAAAAATAACACACATTCTTCATTTACAGACGCATTCTTCATTTCATCTTCATACTACAGATAACAATACAACATTGGTTGAAAATCAGTGAAATTGCACTTAAACCACTGGGTTTCATATTCAGTCAACAAATAAAGGATCAACAATTTAACTAGTCCAACAGTGTTCACCTGTATGTTCATTATGAACATACAGCTATGGCCAAAATAATTTCTACTCTAATTCTAATTCTAGTTTGGGTATTGCAGTAATGCAGTAATACAAAGTGTTAAAACGACACCATATAATGAAATTCTAGAGAATTCTGGGCTTTCGTATTTGTGGCAGGATCAATGGCAAATAATAGTGTCCAGTGTTCACAATAAAGAAAAGGAGGAATCTTTTAAAAATCTATACTAAAAACATTGAAAAGCTGAAGTTTCAATTTAATGACTCCAAAAAAGGAACCATCAATTTAAAAGTA